TGTTAGTCTCTAAGGTGCCACAAGTACTCCTGTTCTTTTTGCGGATACAGACTAACACGGCTGCTACTCTGAAACCTGGAATATTTTATGGGACATTTAAAAAAAGAAATAAAAGCCACAACTTACCAAGTTATCTACCACATTCTGATTGGATTGCACTGTGAATAGAGAAGTATCCTAAGGATATACAAGAAGGAAGCAAGAAAAAATATTTTAGAAATCTACCAAAGGCTTGATTCTGTAAGGCTTAGTCAGGCAACGCTCTCATTGACTTCAGAGCTTTACCTAAGTAAGTGAGGGAGAATCAGATCCCAAAATAGACCATTTTAATAAGTTTACCTCAAACGTAGACAATTAAACATTCTGTCTTTTAGAAATACTTTATGGAAGAATGAAAATTTATTAAACGTTATCCTGATGAAGGCCTAGAAGTGTAAAACTGAGTACACGGTCTCACAATACACCCAACGTACAACAGCTCTATTACAGAGACAAGGTGGGTGAGGTAACAACTTTTATTGGACCAACTTCTGTTGGTGAGAAAGGCAAGCTTTCAAGCTTACACAGAGCTCTTCTTCAGGTCTGGGAAAGGCACTCCACATGTCACAGCTAAATGCAAGGTGGAGCAGATTGTTTAGCATAAGTAGTTAGCACATATTGTAAAGGACCATTCAAGGTAGAGGGATGAGAGTCTGGGGACAGGTCTACACTACAGCAGGGATCGATGCTCTGAGATCGATCCACCGGCAGTTGATTTAGCGGGTCTAGTAAAGACCCACCAAATCGACAGCAGATCGCTCTCCAGTCAACCCCTGTACTCTACCCCCGATGAGAAGAGTAAGGTAAGTCGACAGGAGAGTTTCTCCCGTCGACCCCCCATGGTGTAGACCCCGCAGTAACTTGACCTAAGGTATGTCGACTCCAGCTACGTTATTCACATAACCGGAGTTGCGTAGCGTAGGGCAACTTACTGCGGTAGTGTAGACATAGCCTACGATATGTTTTTAAGGACAGAATCACAGAATTAGCAGTCCAGGGGGGGAGGGGAAGGGACTACAACAAAGGTGGCTATAGCTCACCTTTGTACTCTCCTGATTCTGTGCTGTTCTGAGGCCTGGACTAGCTAAATTATGGCAGCCTGCCCCCATCTTTCTATGGGAGGCAGTACTGCTCCGAATCTCCACAATGTTGTGCTGTGGCCCTGCTTACCCCCAGACATGCTCCCAGCACATCCGCTATATAAAACCTGGATTTATGATGGGGTTCTTGGAGGATAATCTGAAGCCATCTTCCTCAGTTCCTGCACTGAAGGAATTCTTCTTTGTCTGGACCTGGGGTTGTTAGGGCTCCTTTATGTGGCTCTGACTCTTTTCTGCATTGTAAAGTGGCTGGAGCAGGGATGAGAATTGCAATCACAGAGCCCAATTCTGCCTTCCCGTACACCCTAGTGACATGGTCTATTCTTATTGACCAGAAGACTGTTTTGTAAAATGATTGGTTGTTGTCAGCCCATAGTTTATGTTAAATTTTATGTCATGTTACATGATTGTTTCAAAATCAAGGAGGATATCTTTAAAAAATTGAAAGAAACTCATAAGAAAAAAAGGAATTTAAACAATGAACCATTCATTAGCACAGTACCTTCAGACAGTTAAAATCTGCTTATCCAAACGAGATGGGGATGTGAAAGCAAGTTAAATAGGTTTTTTTTCACATAAGTATGGAATTTTGGTACATGTATCAGATTTTAGTATTTCACACAATAGATTTAGATAACATTTGACTAAATCTACAAATGTTAACTAAGTACTATCTGGTCTTCTGACTTCCTCTGGGAGGCTATAATATAAAATAGACATTGGGCTGTTTTACAAGTTGAGTGCATTGGGTGCAATAACTTTTACATTTGTTAAATGTTTATTATAAATACACAAATTCTCCTCTGCCTTTATTTGACAGATGATATCACCAACTAGACAACTCAAGCTGTACAGCTGTTCAAAAAAAGTTTAGTATATTTTGTGAAACATTTTCAGAGTGGATTTTTTAATTTCATTCAAGAATTTTCATGCTTTTTTGATGAAAGTTTTAGAATTAGATTTTTTTTTTAATTAAAAAAGAAAATTTGGGTTTTGGTGGGGAAAACCTCCCACTCTCCCCCACTCTTTTCACACTTCCCCCATTTTTTTTCCAATAGAAAAAAGTTTAAAAGGGAGACAAAGTAGGTTTTTTTCTACCACTATCTCACCAGCAAAGAAGAAACAAAAAGCTTTACACATTAAAAAAAATTTCATAAAATTACAAAAATGTTCAATTTGAATTTTTACTGACATTGAAATGGGTTAAGAAATACCTCAAGTTTGTTAAAACAACATTCTTCAACAATTTTTTTTTTAAATCAAAACATTTTGACCAGCTCTGCTTGTTTGTTTTATAGGTAAAGTGCACTGGATTCAATAGCTTTTAAGTTTGCTATATACTTTAAACAAGAGAAGAGTCTGGCCAACATTCATTTCAAAAATTTCAAAAATTTCAAAAAGAAGAACAGGAGTACTTGTGGCACCTTAGAGACTAACAAATTTATTAGAGCATAAGCGTCCACGAA